CAGCGATGACCAGACGAGCTGCAGCCAGCTCATCACTAAGAGAACGAGTCGGACGTTCGTTCTCAAGCTGCGCGAACGCGAAAGCGGCACGATCGTCCGAACGATCGTGAAGTAGGGAATTATTATAATCCCTCACAAGATCCACAAGCCCATAACGCCGAGAGCGTTCATGAGCCAGATCATCTTGCAGCTGTTACTTTAGACGGTTCAGCTCCTGAACATCAGCTTGATCTGACCCTGGAGCTGGATCGGGTGTTCCCAACACCACCACATCCTTAGGTAAATTCTGGTGGTGGCCAACGCTCTCATGTGGAGCGTATTTTGAACCACCGCGACGTGAATGGCGTCCGGGTGAGTTGTCTCGTCCGCTGGCATGGCTATCCACCGACGGGAGACAGCTGGGAGCCTCGTGCCCAGATGATTGTTGATGTCCTTGGTCTCGTCAAGCAGGACGACGAGACCCACCCGCTGCGTTCGAAGAAGGGCCATCGGAAAACGACCTCCCCGAACGTGAGTACAGGGATTGCAAAGTGTCAATCCCTTCGGCGATCCCAGAATAGATGCGCGCCCTCCAGTATGGATCATTGGGGATGTAGGCCTTCCTAGGGACACGATTTGAGTTGTCCAGGCAACCTGGAAATGGATCACCCCAAGAGAGACAGGTTAATCCTTCCTCTCTTGACAGACGGTGCAACTTGTATCGCGCCCCGACGAGGTTGCGTTTCTCAAACCTGATGCGAGCTGCATCAAGTTTGGCGAGCCAATCTTCACGGCCAATGCACTCAATATTATGGATGAGGGCATTGCATCCTTGCACCAAGTCCTTTCCGTCTCGTGCACGGCTGCCATTGAACCACCGATGTTTGAAAAATACATCTGTGAACAACTCTTCTTCAGCACGGATTTTTCCGTGCTGGAGTTAGGAGAACAGATCCTCCTGCAATACAACAACGGAATTGGATCCCTTTCGTTAGTCACGCCGGCCAACCGGTCCAGCTCTTTGGATGACGGAATCCAAGAAGAATTCACTTGGTGAGCGTGGCGCAGGACATTTTGGTCCCAGGCCTCTTGGTTGGTATCAGCACGAGCACTGGCACCAGTGTTACACCGATCCCTCGTGTTGCTTCGCTCGTGGTGATGCATAGGTGCATCACCACCATCTACACGCGTCCTATCGTTGGATGGACTTGCGTGAGGAGGAGACTCATCGTAGTAATCACTCGGTCCGAAGAACTCGGTCATGATGCTGCCGTGCTGACCAGAGCCAGTCAGCCTGGCTTTTGAAGCGTCCGCCCCTGATAATCCGAAAAATTAATTTTTTTTTCTAAATTTTAAGTTATAGCAAATTTTTGGTAAAAAAAATAAGTAATAAAAAAAAATTAAAAAAAAACCATGAAACTTGATTAAAAAACGAAAATTGATCGAATTGAGGCATAATAGAGATAAGATTTAAATTTTTCAACATTTATTTGACTTGAAGGAATACTTTTAATATTAATTTTTAATTTATATTTCTTAGGTTTTTGATTTTTAAATTTTTTTTGAATATATGACAATCTAGAAAATTCTTTTTTATCTATTGTTCGTAAAGTTTTTTTGAATTAATTTCAAAAGAGACGTGAGGTGTCGCCTTCGAGTCGGATGCATCATGTGACTCGCCAGAATAGATGAGCTCTATCTCAGACTTGTCTGGATTACGATTCGAGGCACCCGCTGCAGACGCAACGGATGTACCTGTCGCACGTGGTGACTCACCACGTGGACTATTCACAACAACAAATGACGAATCGCCTGCTGCTGAGGCGTGAGAGGCACTTTACGCGGTCGCACGTATGCGTGCAGCCGCCTGTCTTGCTGCTGCAGTAGCAACTCGCTTGGTTTTCGCTACCATGCGTTGGATTGGCAAATGAACGGAATTCGACGAACAGGTGCTCTCTTTCTTAGAGTGATCCAACGGTGGTCAACCTTTCCCAATCAATTATCTTCAATCAACGGGTGAATGATGATTAAGGGGGGGGTGATGTAACGTGGTAGCTCGTTACATGATATTGACACCAAACGGTGTCAATAGGAATATTGTCTAGTACGACAATATGCTACCAATGTTATCCGAGGAGGATAATATTGAATTACTAGTATCCTCTTTTGGATACCATTCATTCGCTGCTCCAAGATTGGTTGATATAAGACACATCAACCATAGATTACCACAATCGCTGCTAGACGCGCGCAATGAGTGGTGAGCAGGTTGTCGTCATACGACAACATAGTTTAATGTAGTTAGATAAAGACTGAAGTTATATTGATAGATTGACTATGTCAAATACATTTCTCTCTTTATTATTTACTCAAACTAGCTGTTTAAGTAGATAAGCTTCGTCTGCACGTACTAGTGTACATGAAGTTTCGCGGCACCCCAGACATAGGGTGCCCCGTTACAATTAGTGTCTACATTCTTCCCACACCTTGTACACCCGGAATCAGTTACCCATGTCATTCAACAAAGTCGATCGCCACGCTGGTATTACGTCTCCTGTGGTTGAGATTCAGCCCGACAGCAAGTCAAAACAGCGCGTCTTGCACAAAAGCAGAGGATCCCGCAAAGCCAGTAAGTCCAGATCAGTTTGTCGCTGACATTCGCTCTCGAGCAGCTGAAAGCGAGATTGGCCATTATTCCGCGCTTCTGGGGATCCGCAATGAGTGCGATCGGGTCTGCATACTTAGCAGCAGTCTCTAAGATTAAGCACTCGCGGCGACGTCTGCATCCCTGCGACACGCACTAGCACAACACACGTGTCTTCCAGTGCTCTAGTGACGTGTAGTACCCACAAATGAATCACCGGCACCTAAAGAGTAGAGGTGACGCCCTCCAAGACGAGCACTGAGTGAGGCGATGCAGAGAAGACACGGTGGAGATTCAGCTGTATAACTAAATTAAGACATGCACGTCGTATGATTGAAGCAGCTGGTGTGGATGCACGGGCGCGCGCGGGTCTTCGTTACATGCCAAGCTCTGCCGTGCAAATTTAAGCACGAGACTGAAGTGATTGACTAGGCACATGAATGGCGAGTCAAAATTGTAGCGGCGAAGTAACACGAGGAACGACTAACATTGCATCTTCTTTGGCAACAACCCTCGCGAAGAACGTTCTTAGAGGAGAATGAGTAAAGCAGTGTACATTACTACACAACATAAATACGATGGACACAAGGATTCGTCAAGGACCGCCCTAAAAAAAATTGGGCTGCACTCGTATGGCCCTGCAATTAATGCATGAAAATTAGAGAGAAAGAACAACATCGTAAATGATGGCGGCGGATCTGAATTTCTGTCATTCACTAGAGCAGAGAACCAGTAGGAGAGAGAACCGGTGTAGTGACGGTCGAGAATCAAGGTGCTGGTAGTAGTAGCGCAGCCGAAGAGCACAAGTCCGTAACAGAGAAGTACAGTGGCGTGCGGAACACGCAAATGCGCAGAGGAGCCGTACTTGTTCGCGACAAAGTTTCACCGTATCTCTTGACAGACACATTTTGCTATTTTTCTCTGTCATCATGAACAGAACGTTTTGGCTTTTCTATTCGCCAATTTGTCTTTGGCCTGGTCAGAGACGAATATTTGGAGCACATAAGAACAACTAGAAAAGAGCGTTTAATGCATGTGTCTACTACTCGTTCAGTGTGTAGTCTATTCTATGTATAGTAGCGGGTGCTAAGGAGGTGTAGCGCCATAGCCAAAAACCATCGGTAGGACTTTGTCAAAGTTGACGCATAGCGCAAGCTTTTTCGGTCGCAGGTAAATGTAAAGTAATCACTTGAAGTGCCCTTGTACGCCTCCTTGCCGATATATCTCTCACGTATTGTAGCCCATCCGAACAATAGTACTAAAGCGACCTCTCTCGTTTTTATAAGAAGCATGCATTTGATCTCGATCCTGAGTGGTAGTCGTCATCGATGTTTACTACAGACAAAAAGCTTACCTGCTTTCCACATTACGGTTTCTGTCAGGCCGACAGTTGCGGCGTACCAATAAAAATATTGTCGATGCAAATGTACGTTTGCCGAGCGTGGTCGCTACACTTCCTTGCGTCTTCGGATAAAATGCGGTGAGACCCAAAGATTTATTTAAGTTTTAATGACAATACGTCGACGCCGTTCGAGAATAGTCCGATCAGATGTGTAAAGGACACCTTGTGCTTCCATCATTGGTGGCTTGAGATCCGATCGCTGTCAACAGTTCTGCATTAACTGCGTCTGTTTAGAATATACCTGAGCAAAGAATTTCTAAGGGCAGATACCGTCGAGGCAAGAATCAGTATGTACTAGCTGTCACAAGTTGACGTAGCCAGGCAAGGTGGTACAAAACGGCTGCAACGAAGCCTGTGACAGAAGCTTTATTTGTAAAATCATAACGATGGGGAAGCAATGTAACGGGGCACCCTCAATCTTGTACTGATGACAGTACAAGCTACTCATGATAATGACAAAATGAGGCGGTGCCGCGTAATTTCACGTACACTGATACGTGCAGAGTAAGACGGTAAGGAGAAGCGAGTACTTGGTTAAAGTAAAAAGTAGAACTGTATTTATCAAAGTTAAGGTCTTTTAATAAACTACTGTTTATCCTCATCTAATTATGCCTAAATACAAATGTGTAAATTAACCATCGGCTCACCACTCATTGCGTGCGTCTGTCATGGCGCGTCTTCGTTGGTTGATATTATGGCCTACATCAACCAATTAGGAACTACTTGTAAGTGCAACAGAATATTTGTCCTTATGACAATATTCTGAGAATATAACTCTTATAGTTATAATCTATTAACAATTTCTTATAAATTGTTATGTAACAGTGCACCCCGTTACATCACCCCCCTTAACCATCAGTCACTTTAGTGACTGATTGAATGAATGGATACTCGTCCCAAACCATTTGGAACAGGGTTTGCACTTGTTGGTCCGACTTCACAGTCCATAAGTTTCATCGCGTGGTTAACAAGTCCATGCGGTGCGTGAACAAGGCCGCTGAGAGTGCGTCTGCACGTCTCTGTGCAGACGCCGAAGCAGAAACCGCTGCAACCGATGTATCATCTGTTGGTGCAGGCGCTCGTCATGAAGACACTTATGTCTTCACAGGGTATGAGCTCGGTGTCTCGTACTCTCCTGATACGGAAGAGGGATCCGTATTCGAAGGCGGTTGAAACCAAGCCGCCTTCCAAGCGTGGTATGGATGATGCTTTGCGTCGTAGCATCTTTAGGTCATCTGACGAATCAGATGTACCATCGCCAAAGCGAAGGCGCTCGAGATCGCAAGACTCGGGCGCTCACAGTGGTGTCCGTTCCTATTGACACCACTTCGCAGCGAGGTACCAGTACTTCTGTCGGCCTGTTGCAGGAAGAGCGGGACCGCAACGTGTTGCGTCTCGCTCCCGAAAAGAAAGCATAGCTTCCTCCAAAGTCCGTCATGGATCGCTTGTCGGAGACGACAAGTGATCGCTATCGAACACGATTGTTCGATCCATCAAAAATCCATCACCTTGACCCCAGAGCGAAAGACTATCGCGCTAAGAGTGATTTCTTCATCGATGCTTTCTTTAAACATCGATGGTACAGTGGGAATCACAAACGTGATGTTTCCTCACTGCTTCAAGCGTGGAACGCCAACATCCATAACCCTGAGGATGTAGGTCGTGACGCTTGGAACGTCAAACTTATCAAAGCTCGTGATAAGTTTGAAAAGCGAACCCCGACAGGTGCACGCTACAAGCTGCATCGTCTGTCAAGGGAGAAAGGATTACCCTGCCTCTCTTGGGGAGACCCGTGCCCTTGTTGTGTAAACAACTCTGCACGAGCACCTAAGGAGGCTTACCTCCTTACCAGCCCGTGGTGGCGCGTACGTGTCTCTACTGAGATGTACGAAGGGATTGACAACCTGAAATCCTTTTACGACCGTGCCGGGAAGACTTTCTCCGGCGGTCCTTCTGCGGCACAGGATGTGCCGCGTCGTACTGCTCAACCAGACCCAGTACGTCGATCATCAGTTGGGAGCGGGGCTCCCAAGAATCCCAGGACGGGGGATAGCCGCGCCACCGTACGAGATAACTCGTCCGACGTCCGTTCACGTCGCAGTGGTTCAACAGCTGCTCAACTAGATAGCGCTGGCCACCGCGAGAGTCCTCTAATGGAGGTGGAGGAGGAGGAAAGACGCTCTCCAAGCGATCGTGGGGATCCGTGTGTTCCCGAGAGCTTCTTTGATCGCGTAACTCAAGGGTTACGCGGTGATCTCGAACCTGAGCGGAATAGGCGTCTCCAAATGGCGGACACTGTCTTGAAGCATCGAGCTGAGTTTGCCTTTGCTCAGCTTGAGAACGAGAGAGCTCTGACATCTCTGCGTGACGAGCTAAGGGTAGCTCGTGGGATTGTTGATCGGTCTCGGGCTGAGATAACTGCTCTTCAGACCCTTGTCGATGCCTACCATCTGGAGCACAAGGCTCTCTGCGAGATGCTTGAGCGCAAGGGCGTTCTTCATCGGAAGAAGCAGCGTACTGATGGTACGGCTTAAGCCGACCAACGTAAAACGTGGGATGCGTTCGCATCTTACGTGGCAACTCGATCGTGTATGCATTGCCTAGGCGGTGCAATACACGAAATGGGCCAATGTACTTGGGTAGTAGTTTACTGCTACCCAAGTTAGTCACTCCATGCTTTGGTAGATTAACCGTATACAGTAGGACTAAGTCACCTTTAGTAAATAAAAGAGTGTTTGCCCTTCCATTCTTGTCAGCGTTTTGCTTTTGCTTATCCACCGCTTCGGCGATGGAGTCTTGCACAAAACGGACTACCGTTTCACGAGCCAGTATGAACTTATCTGCTGACTCGTTAGCTTCAGTGCGCTGTGAGTGCACTGCAGCGACATCAATCTTTTCTTCAGTGAGGGCTTCCTCGCTCTCACTGGCAACATCTTCTTCGATATCGATGTTGTCGATATCGGCATCAAACGCAATGACCTCTTCGTCAGAGCGTGATGAGCGTGAACCAAATCGGTTTTTGCTCGCGCGAGTCCCTCCCCCCTTAAACCAGAGTCACACTCTAGTAAGGTGGGTACACGCGGATGGCGTAAGCCATTCACGTAAAACGGTGTATGTGTCGTGGACGCATGCACCGAGTTGTTAATGGCAAACTCTACCATTGGCAAAAACTCACTCCAACTATTAAAGGAGTGTACGTATCCTCGAAGTATCTCTTCAAGGACACGATTGGCACGTTCCGTCTGACCATCTGACTCTGGATGATCAGATGTTGACATCTTCAAGCGCGTTCCGAGTGATTTGAACACGGAACGCCAGAAATCAGCAGTGAATCGTGGATCTCTGTCTGATACGAGTTCACGGGGCAACCCATGAAGTCGGAAGATGGTGTCAATAAAGACACAAGCACAGCCACTTGCCGTGATTGTCTCTGGTACAGCCACAAGGTGTACCATTTTGCTGAATCTGTCAACAAATACGAGAATACCCGTATTCCCGCGTGCGTCTTTGGGTAACCCGAAGACGAAATACATTGAGATGGATTCCCAGCACTCTGCCGGAACCGGTAGAGGCTGTAAAGGTGCACGCAGTGAAGGGATTGACTTCAATCGTTGACAGGTTTCGCATGCGCGAATATACTTGCGCACAAAAAACTGATACTGGCGGCGCCCGTAAAAGTCTTGACTCACCGTGAGATATGCTTTCTCACGGCCACGATGTCCTCCTATAGGAGCATCGCGATACTCGAACATGATCCGCAAACTCAGATCAGTATCATCTGGGATGACAACGCGTGGTGCGTCACCAGAAACGGCTGTGCAAAACAGTAAGTCGTTGTGAGTAGTGTATCGATCTGATGCAGATCTATACGCAGACGACAATCGTTTCAACGATTCTCGAGATGGTTGTGAGAGATGTGTCAACAACTTCACAATCTCACCATCTTGGGCATACGCCCTCCTCACATCATCATATAACGTTGAAGATGGTATTATGAACGTCATAACCGCAACAGTGACTGTCTCACTGTTGGGTTTCACGACTGGTTCAAAGTCGGGCCGACGTGAGAGTGCATCAGCGACGACATTAAGTCGTCCTGGTTTGTACTCGACCGTAAAGTTGTAATTTGCAAAGAATGACAACCACAGCGCCATTCGTTGTGAAAGGTGCGGGCTGTTGACTGCCGTGCGCAATGACGCATGGTCTGTGTAAACGATGAAGGGTCTATCTCCTAATAGATAGACTCTGAACTTCGCGAGTGCACACTTCATGGCAAGGAGTTCCTTGTCATGCACTAGATAGTTTCGCTCAGCTGGTTGCAGCTGACGCGACTGATAGCAGACGACGCGTTCAACGCCTTTCAGATCGTACTGCATTAATGCACAGCCGATTGCAAAATCGCTGGCATCACTAACCACATGAAATGGCCTGTCCAGATCGGCAATTGCTAGGACTGGGGATTGTATCAAGCTCTGCTTGATACCATCAAAGGAGCGCTGACATTCAGCGTTCCATAACCACCTCTCGTTATTTTTCAACAAACGAGAGAGGTGCACAGTCATCTCGGCGTAATTGCGTGAATACTTGTGCAAATACGCCGCTAGCCCTAGGAATTTTCGAAGACCTTTGACATCAACCGGCACAGGCCAGTCGGTGATCGCCTGGATCTTTTCGGGATCAGGACGTACACCGTTCTTACCAACGATGCACTCAAGAAGTGGTATTTCGCTTGCTACAAATATACACTTCTTGAGGTTGCCATACAATTGATGATTTCGCATGATTGTAAGAACTTGTCGGACGTGGTACCTGTGAACCTCAACGTCCGACTTTCCATCCATAGCTCGACTATGGATGAATACGTCATGGAAATAACTCGGCGCGAATTCTCGTACTGGTCTCAACAGATGTGATACACATCTGTTGAACGTGGCAGGGGCATTACTAAGCCTTTGTGGCATTACTAGCCATTCCCAGAGCATGCCGCTAGGCGTGCTAACTGCGGTACAGGATGTGTCCCGTTATCGCATAAGGATTTGATAGAAACCATCCATCAAATCCATGGACGAAATGATGGTACTCTTTGACATAACCTCAATGATTACGTCCTTCCTTGGTATCGGCGTCTGAGCCGGTACCGTTGCAGCATTTGACTTGTTAAATGCATGCACTATCCGTCACCCTCCTGTTGCTTTACGCATACAGAAGGTTGGAGAGCTTTGTGGGGAAGTTGATTCCCTCACATGGCCCGCAGCTAAACGATCGGCAAAGAACTTGTCGATCGCAAGTACTTGTTCACGAGGCAGTGGCCACTGCTGCATGACACAGTACTTCGAGCCTGGTTTAAGCTCGACCTCGTGTCAAATACCTTTATCCTTCGGTAATTCGCACGGAACAGTTTCAGGGAATACATCCTTGAATTCAACCAAATCTTCATAGAGAGGATTTTTCTTGAGCGATTCCCATGATTGGGAGTCATATCGCTCAATTCGTGTCTTTTCATCGAGGACACTCTCGTCCATAGATGAACTACTGAGAACTCTCTCGTTCTCAGTGAACACTGTTGCTAACCTTATGTCGGCTACACACTCGTCGTCAGCGACGAGTACGCAGATAAGATTGACTTTGCCACTACGCAGATCACGCAAGAACCTTTTATGTTCGAGCGTTGGCAACTGAGTGATCTCCGAAGTCAACTTCGGAGGCACAATTAGATCAAGTGTATAAGCGCCTACGCTTGATCCGTTATTGACTAGGACATTTAATGTCTCTGTCATTTCCTGGGGACTTATTCCCTCAGGCCTCGAAGGACTTATTCCTTCGGCTTCCCGGATACTTATTCCCTCGGGTTTCGGGGAACTTATTATCACCGTTTCTGTAAAATCCGGACTTATTCCCTTAACTTTCTCTAGCTGTGGTTGCGCAAGCACAGCGAGATCCTCTACGAAAGACTCTCCAGTCGATCTAAGGTTATCGTTTCGCTTGACCTGAGCGATCGATTGTTTCTCTTCTAGATGTTCCCCGCTAGGAATACATCTTTGTCCGGTCCACTCGACTTATTCGAGTGGTGGACCTTCGGCGCAGCCTTTGTTTCCTCACAGCCACCGGAATTTTGCTCCGAAGTGTAACCGTTTGGTACACTAAGGTTTTGTGCAGTCGTACTAACGACCGTACCACAAGTGAGGCCATCGCACTCACTCGTAGTACATCCACACGCTTGTGGACGCTCCAGAACGTTCATCAGATGGCCATCTGATGAACAAGCGGCAGGCATCGTTATTGTTCGATGTTGCCAATTTACTCGTGGTTCGTACCTTCTGAGCCACGGTATTCCAAGGATGACATCAAATTTGTCATCCAAATCCAATACGATAAGGTCATCGTCATATTGGGTATCTTCTAGCGTATAGTGAATCTCCACTATACGCTTCATGACGGTTACGGATGCGCCTGTCGCAAGACGCACCGTCATCCTAGTAGAAGGTGTGTCACAATTTAACAAACCTGAAGTAACCATCTTCTAGTGATTGGCGTCGCACAAAATTGTTGGACGCCCCACAATCGACTAGAGCTCAAAGGGACAACTTATTCGTCACTTCGAGTTTCAAGGTAATGAGTGAGACCTCATTACCTAGAGCAGCAACGCACAACGTCTGTGTGTTGGGAGCAACCTTCATCAAGAGGCCTACAAATTCTCTTGACGTTGCTGGACCAGTAGGGTGCTCCGCACCTACTGATCCTGTCTGTTTTTTGACGGTACATCCCGTTGTTGCGTCTTTGCACCAACAGCGGACCCGCGTCCCTTCCCCTTTCTCATGGGTGGACGGTCACTACGCCCAGTGTTGTGAGACACTGGACGAGGGGCACTACACTAGTAAGCGTAGTGTCCTGTCTTTTGACATCTGTTGCATTTCTGCAACTTCTTGTAGTCTGTAGAGCGAGCCTTCTCGCTCTCTACATAACAGAGTTCTATCGGCTCTGGACCTCCGCTGTCATATCGTCTCGGTTGACGATATGATGTCGAGCTGGCGCGAGCCTGTCTCAGATTGAAGTCTTCCTGTTCCGCAATGGAAATGGCTTGTTCTAGTATATCCAGTTTAAGTCGGAACAGGTGAGTTTTGACGAGACCATCCGCAAGACCCTGCATGAACACCGAAACCAAACGTGTGTTCATCAACCGGGTTGGAACCTATACAACTCGTGAGATGTCGTACATGTTGTGCTTAAGCGTGCACATCACGCTTACCTTGTTTAAGCTTCAAGAGTTCGGTTCGAGCTCTGAACTCAGCTCTAGGCGGTTCAATCGTTTGTCTGATCCGCGACTTGAAGACTTCTAACGACCCAAACGCATATGGGTCGTGCAACTTGACTTTCAAAGCCCAAGTCTTGGCACTTCCTGCCAGATTTGACTGGGCAAATGCAGCTTGCATATCCCCGTCGTAGATGCGACGCGCCCTCATGGTGTCGTCTAACTCGACAAACCATCTCAAGAGGGAGTCCTCTTCGACTCCCCTGTACTTGGAGATGTCAATCTTCAAGGTCTCGAGTCGACGCGAGTGCATCGACCCACCAGCAGCAGCCTGCTGCTGTTTCAACGGTTCAAACTGTTGAGCACCCTTTTCTCTCAACAACTCTGCTTTTTGAGAACCTTGTTGGTGAAGCAAGGCTACTTTCTCGCGTTTAGCGTCAAGTTCATTTTGAATGAACTTTGCGATAGTAGCATGTCGGGCATCTCTAACGATAGCCTCTAGTATGACGCTAACAGCATGGATGCCCATGGTTGAACCCATTCGTTCAACCGCATCTCATTCGACATCGCTCAAATGGGAGTAGCCGTCACGCGTAGCGTGAAAGCTTTGGTCATCATCATCATCCAACATATTCATTTAGATGTGAACGTGGTCCTTGGACGGGATACGAAGTGCTACCGGGTGTAACGGGGCACCCTGAAGCTTGTACTGATGACAGTACAAGCTACTTACTCCGATGACAATGAGGCGGTGCCGCGTAACTTCACGTACACTGGTACGTGCAGAGAAAGACGGTAAGGAGAAGCGAGTACTTGGTTAAAGTGAAAAGTAGAACTGTATTTATAATAGTTAATGTCTGTTGATAAACCACTGTTTATTCTCATCTAGCTATGTCTAAATACAAATGTGTAAATCAACTATCTGCTCACCACTCATTGCGTGCGTCTGTCGTGGCGCGTCTTCGTTGGTTGATATAATGGCCTACATCAACCAATTAGGAACTACTTGTAAGTGCAACAGAATATTTGTCCTTATGACAATATTCTGAGAATATAACTCTTGTAGTTATGTTCTATTAACAATTTCTTATAAATTGTTATGTAACGATTCACCCCGTTACAAGCAAGCTCTGGAACTCGCTCTTTTGTATAAGTGATTTAGTTCAAGAGAGCATAGACAAGTGTCTACGACTATCAGGGGTGCCATGCTATATGCATGCATCGAGTTACTTGAGCACGAACCGAAAGGCTCACCAGGCTTACCTGGACCCAGCCACGGTCAGCCCCCGGACCCTCCGGCGCTGTCATCTTGGCTAAGGCTATACCAGACATCATGCGCATAGTTAATTCTGTGTAAATTGAATATCATTATTGGAAGCATATGTGTTTATTTATACATATAAGTAATTTTGCTCGAGGAATTGAGTTAACTTGCAAATCAATACTCAACAGCAGCAGTCACTGAAAGATGATAATGATGCTATTATCGTCTGAATTAACCTGGTTCAGTTGGCTAAAACAACGCGGTCGGCCTTTGCTTAAGATCGTCCAGCATCGTATTATGTAATATAATTCAGCTCCGATCGATTTGAAGCCAATCTGGTGCGTGCATCACTATATCGACCTATCTATATAGTGACACCTATAATGCTATTGACCTATGAGGGGAGACAGGCCAGATCGTATTTAGTACGAGTAAGTTTACAGGATACCCGCATTATTTACAGACAGACAAACAGACTGACAGATAGGTACGATTTATAAGTTCGGTTTCCAACCTTGCGCACACTCACTGATGGCTCCAACCTTCGGGCTCGCAATCACACAGATGAGTGGACATCACGCTTGGAGAGGACTTCCGTACATGGGAAAACAAAACAGTACACTTATTTAATATAACCCGAACATTTGAACCCGGTCAGTGATTAAACCTCGCATCGTTCTCGTCTTGTGTCACTCAGGACAGTGACCGTCACATCAGCACGACGATGAACCGTCTCCTGACGTCCCCTCTCCAACAATGGTGGTGGTGTCAAGTACGTCCAGCATTCACGAAAAACTAACGACTGAGATTTCCAGGAAGTGTGATCCGAAACCGGATCTACAACGTGGGTGCTCCGAAGAGCCGGGGCCGAGGGTAGCAGAGGTCAAAACATCCAACCAAGCCAGATTCAGGCCTATCTTTCAAGCGCTCTCAGTGCAACGCTGTCCTAAACAGCAGAAAATATCAGGCCGTCCAAAGGGACGCCAAACTGAATCGATGACCGCTTAGCGCGGCCAGCCGACCTATAGCGCGGCCAGCCGACCTATAGCGCGAGTAAGCGAAGCTACGTTACGCGCCGGGAGAATGCCACTGAAATCAGCGACAAACTCCATCGTGGCCGCTAGAGTGACCGCCCGGGCTGGGTGTCGCTATCGTCGAGGCGATGGCGATGGCGGGGGAACGCCTACCCGCCGTAATTTATCCCTTCGGAGCCGATCCATCCGCGATGGTGGGCCTCCGTGTGCCGCTTGCGCGGCTCATCGACGTAGAGTGTAGCCACCGAAGTAACCACGAGGCGCGAGGAACGCCAACCCGCCGTAATATTTCTCCAGGGAGCTCATCCATCTGCGATGGTGGCCCCATCAGCCGCTTGAGGGGCCCTGGACGTGGAGCGCGATCAACGACGTAATCGCAAGGCGTGGGAAACGCCAACCCGTCGTGATACCTCCCCTTCTTGGTCGCTCATGCGACCCCCAAGACTTGGACTGTGCGACGCCCGCAACAACGACACGTGGCGCGGGGTGCGCCTCCATTCCGTACCCTCCCCTTTTTGGCCGCTTGCACGACCCGTCGGTCCACTGCCCTTACAAACGATACTGCGAGTGCAGCGCGTTCCAGGGAGACTCCAGACCTCTTCGGCTCACCGATGTGGAGGATCCCCTCCGAAGTGGCGGCCCCCAAAGGGGGAAAAGACTGACTTGAGCTGACCCTGAAATTTCGGGATGCCCAAAAATCTTTTTGGTAGCATACCTTAATTCGGGGCTCGGCGGTCTTTATCGGTTTGGCATCAGCACTTGCTAGCAGTGTTTTTACTAGGAACTACCAAGGCTCATAGGAAGGTAGCAAAGGTGGTCCCTATCTCCGATGCCCTATTATTATATCCCGAAAATCGGTTATCGATCCGGGCACGACCCACAATTTGAGGTTTCGAACCAGGTAACTCACGCAATCACGGCTGTCGTTCCAGATACCTCCCACAATCTTGGATGTCGATCAAAAAATTCACGCAATCTTGGGTGTCGAGCCAGGGGTCTCACGCAATCTTGGATGTCGATCAAGGAACCTCACGCAATCTGAGGGGTCAAACCAGGTAACTCACACAATCACGGCTGTCGTTCCAGATACCTCCCACAATCTTGGTTGTCGATCAAAAAATTCACGCAATCTTGGGTGTCGAGCCAGGGGTCTCACGCAATCTTGGATGTTGATCAAGGAACCTCACGCAATCTGAGGGGTCAAACCAGGTAACTCACACAATCACGGCTGTCGTTCCAGATACCTCCCACAATCTTGGATGTCGATCAAAAATTCACGCAATCTTGGGTGTCGAGCCAGAGGTCTCACGCAATCTGAGGGGTCGAACCAGGTAACTCACGCAATCACGGCTGTCGTTCCAGATACCTCCCACAATCTTGGATGTCGATCAAAAATTCACGCAATCTTGGGTGTCGATCAAGGAACCTCACGCAATCTGAGGGGTCGAACCAGGTAACTCACACAATCACGGCTGTCGTTCCAGATACCTCCCACAATCTTGGATGTCGGTCAAAAAATTCACGCAATCTTGGGTGTCGAGCCAGGGGTCTCACGCAATCTTGGATGTCGATCAAGGAACCTCACGCATTCTGAGGGGTCGAACCAGGTAACTCACACAATCACGGCTGTCGCTCCAGATACCTCCCACAATCTTGGATGTCGATCAAAAAATTCACGCAATCTTGGGTGTCGAGCCAGGGGTCTCACGCAATCTTGGATGTCGATCAAGGAACCTCACGCAATCTGAGGGGTCGAACCAGGTAACTCACACAATCACGGCTGTCGCTCCAGATACCTCCCACAATCTTGGATGTCGATCAAAAAATTCACGCAATCTTGGGTGTCGAACCAGGGGTCTCACCCAATCTGAGGGGTCGAACTAGGTAACTCACGCAATCACGGCTGTCGTTCCAGATACCTCCCACAATCTTGGATGTCGATCAAAAATTCACGCAATCTTGGGTGTCGAGCCAGGGGTCTCACGCAATCCGAGGGGTCGAACCAGTTTATTCACGCAATCACGGCTGTCGTTCCAGATGCCTCCCACAATCTTGGATGTCGATCAAGGAACCTCACGCAATCTGACATGTCGAACTAGGTAATTCCCCGTAGTACCCATTCTAGTTACCTAACTGTCCTGTACCTAAATTGACTGGCGTCAGGGTCACCACAAATATCGAGCTTGGCTATCACAACTCTCATTCTTGCTTTTGCCAAACAGCGTTCATTCTGACACTTTTCGACTTCCAAACCGGTACCACCCGACTTCCATGAACATCCAAGGGATATTGACCATCGTCATGGCTTCCTTCGTGGTTTGCCCTGAGACCAGTCAGTCTGTTCGTGTCCAAGGATCTGCTTGTGCCAATGAGCCACTGTGTGTCGGTGTCAGTGATGAACGATTCAATGATGTGGCTCAAAACTGTACCAACGCCCCAGACAAAGGTGTGTGTTGCACGGAAGGCTGCTCTCCGATTGATTGCGCGAGTGTCCCGGAGTGTCAAACCCCTCGTGCACTTTCGAAGGAGATCCCAAATTATGCAACAAGCTCCTGTAACCAACCTTACTATAGTCGGGACTACATGAAAGAGTGCTGCGCTGGTTATTGCGTCTACTCCTCCGGACCAATGGGCTAATCCAACCGCGCGCGCCCGCCTCATAGTGAGGTGGTTTCTGTGTTGCATCGTCCGAGTGGTGCGACCCTCATCTTTGCAATCCTTCGAATGTTCAGGAACCCTCGTTTCAAGCCCGTTTAGAGCAAAGAACGATAACTTGGTTTAATACAAAAAGGCTGGTCATTGCTTGTAATTGCACATCGTATCATGTGAGTTCTTGTGTTGATCGCTTTGTCGTTGCAAAAGCTTCTTCACGGTAACCTGGTCAAATTGAACATACACAGGTTCATCGATTGCCTTTCCTCCGATGCTTTATTATCTTCGTATACTCACAGGACTAAACCACTACGTGATTGTTCTGAGGCCGTTCTCTAGTCGCGTGTTACCGTTTAACTATTGTCCTAGAAGCCAAATTTAGGTGAACAGAGGGATGATTTGTATCAAATGTGTGGGATAGAAACCCGTTCAAATTACGCATCGAGGGTGGTTGTGGTGTGATGGCACTGCGAATGCCAGCGTAAAAGCTGCGGAGTAGTTTTTATTAAAAGACGGTGGACTTCCAGGAACGTAAAATGCAATGTACAGGCACTATCTTCGATGGTGATCTCTCCCGAT